CAGCCTTTTAATGTATCTTCTGCATGTCTCAGTCCCTGTCTATGATGGAAGTAATGGTACTCTCTTGTTCAGAAGGCAGATGCATACACAGGCATCTCTGGTCCTTGTACTTTTCAGATGTAATAAGAGCAGGTATTACAGCTTCTCAGAATTGCTCCAGAAATTTTGTCTATATTTGGAATAAATGAATCTTTTCTCAAACTGGAGCCTTCTGAGGGAAATGTCAACTTGCAACTCATTTCTTGTAAGGAAAAAAAAAACAACACTTGTTTTTTTTTCCTATTATTCTATTTGTGATGGTAAAAATATTTGTTGAAAACAGAAATGTTTTTATGAGGTGCAGTCAGTGGTGAGGCTTCACTTGCTGCTGGGTGATTGCCAAATGTCCATGTTTACCTGGGTCTCTCTGCCCCATCCAAGCTTTTTCCTTTTTTTTCTTGAAGGAATAAGCTTCTTTGACTCTCCCAGCAGCTGTTTGGAAAGGGGAGCAGCAACACTGAGAAAGTTTTTATTTTTTATTTTATTTATTTTTTTTTATAATACATGCTCATCCCACCTGGAGGTATTTGTTTTAAGTCTGAAATGGGGACAGGCCAGTCCTGGGCTTAAATACCTTTGCTATTAAGGTATAAAGGTGAAAGAACATGGTTAATGCTTGGAGGGGCGAGCATTTCTAAACCAGAGAGATTTACTGATCCTGGTTGATTGTGCTTTTTTAAACATCTCTATGGACTATAACGTTTTCAAAAATACCAAGTCTGACCATGTGGGCACAGGAGTGTGGAATCCAGTTGTGTGCCAGCTATTTGTTGCTATTTTCAAATTATCTGACCAAAAATGTGAGCCTTGGACAGGAAGACTATCCGGTCATGAAGGCTCCAAGTTTTAAAAGTTTCTTTTACAAATGGCTTGAAGGACCATGATAAGAGGGCCTGCCATGCTGCCAAGGGTTTCATTGTGGTGGCACCTGAGCAAGCCTGGGAGAAGGTGTTCTCTGCTTTCAAATTTTGCCCATTTAAAATGGTAAAAGGAACATTATGCTTTATTATAAAATGTTGCAATAAACCCCTTAGATTGGGCACAGAAACATGTACCACCTCTGCCCTAGGAGATTTCAGCTTAAAAGTAGGCTGGGCTTCTGCCTTGGGGCACAGCACTGCTCTGCTCCCTCTGCTCCTGGGCACTGTCAGTGTGTTTTTCTTGACTGAGCACCTTAAACACAAGAGTTGTTTTGGGGCAGTGTTCTGCTGGTGCTGCCTGGGGAGGATGGCCATTCCTTGGGGAGTGAGGGAATGGCATCTTTTGTGTTTTGGGTTGAAAAACTTTCTCCATTGTTTGAAACTCAGGGTCCGTGGTACTCTGCATGATTGATTGTCCTCTTTGATCAAGAAGCTGGGGTGCATTCGAGTGAGAAAGTGAAGGTGCCCCCCTCTTGCTCAGTGTGTCTCTGACCAGGCTTAGCAAAATGCAGACAGCAAACAGTGGGGGGAAAACAAAAATGAAAATAAAAGTCACTGAGGCTGTTTTGAAAATCTTCCAGTAAACCGAGGGAATGTGAGCAGCGTGAGGTCAGTAGTCTGTGCTTGAAAAGAAGGGATCCAATCCTGGTGTCAGTTACAGACCTGTAAATCACAGGCAGTGCTGCTGGCAGTGACAGGAGCTGCTGAAAGGCTGCTCCAGCATGGGACCTGCAGGCTTTCTGGCACAAGCATGCTGATTCCTCTCGTTCCTTAGCCACCCTTTTTTCTAGCTGTCCTTGGGCATTTCAAATAACATCACTGCATCAAGGCTGGTCCTGCTTTTGGGTTAGTTCCTGACCATTGTGACCCAGTGGCTTCAGCTCAGGGTGACTCCTGGCTGCTGGAATGCTGTAGGTAGGGCTTTCTCACAACTTCTTTAGCTGCTGTTTAGATCTCTTCTGCTCTGAATGATCTTTTCATTTCCTATAATACAGCAATCTCTGGGGCAGCTTGGCATCCCTTCAGTGGAAATTGAGTTCTGTGCTGAAGTGTTCTCTTTCCCCCCTGTTCTCCTAGCTCATTTTCCTCTCTTGTTTTAGTCACGTTTAACGAACACCAGGACAAACCTGAAAAACAAGTGGGACAGCAAAGGAAAAAATGTGTATCCTGGTCCCAAAGCATGCTGTGCACTGCTGGAGGACCTTGGGGCTCCCTTGGGGCAATGCTTTTAGCACCTGGCTCTGCACCCTGAAGCACATAGGGGCTTCCAGGCAGTTTGCTTATGGGAGCTCTTTTTCCCCACCCAAGCTGATGTTCCGTGCTGTGGTCAGGATCAGCTTTCCTCCAGGACGAGGGCTGCACCAGGAGCTCGGAAGTGATAAGCCCCATTATTGCTAATTTTGACACAGAGGGTTGTAGTGGGATTGGAAGCAGCTCTGTCCTGAGTGCTATCTAGGAGGGGCGTGTGCTTCCTTACAGACTGAAACCATTCACGAGTCACTGCATTTCACCAGCACAGGATCTGACACCCAAAAAGGCAGCAGCCAGGCTGTTTGTGTTGGTGACTCCCTGAGCCGGTGCTGTGCTGGCAGCTGAGCAGGGGAAACGTGTCCCCAGCTTTTGTTGTCTCGTGTGATCCTTTTATTAGATAACTTCAGCAGTGTACTGTTGAATCGAGCAGTTTAATTTTAATCCATGAAACTTGAGAAGCACAGATGCTAACAGAGAAAACTGTTAGGGCCAGATCCTGCATGTGTCACTGTCCCATGTAGAAAGATGAGTACCTGTCTATGTATGGCTGTGTTTGGGTGTAAAGTTACCAATGCATATAACCTGATTTTTAAGTCAGAGTTGGACTCCAAATTGAGATTTGTATGAAAAGGATCTGATTTTCCCAATGTGTGAGAATGTGGAGATCTCAGACAGCTCCCTCAGTGCTTGCAGTGGCCAGAGTGCCTGAGGCTCAGGGCTGTGGCAATGAAGGGAGATAATGTGAGATTTCTGAGTTTGGGAACTTTGGCCAGCAAATAACACATATATTGGCACAGAGTAGGAAAGACATAAAAAGACATATGTCAGAACAGGGCAGGCTTTTAAGTGGTTTTCATTTAAAGTGAAAAGGTCAGATTGAATGAGGTTGGCATCTGGGGAACTGTTCGTGCACCTGCCAATCAAAGGGGGGGACCCATGTCAGTTCGTGCTGATGGGTGACTGGCTGAGAGCTTGTCTGTGTTTTAAAATTGGTGACTGGAACAGTTAAAATGACAATTTTCCTTGTGGCTGTCAGGTTGAACCATCTGCTTCACGAAGGAATGGAACAAAGGATCCCAGCACGAGGCTGCTTTATCCCACTTCCGCTGGTGTTTGCACTTGGGCTTCAGCAAGTACAGCTATGCTGATTTAAAATGTAATAATAGTAATAAATAGACTCTAAATACTGGTAACACTTTCAAGTGTAAAGGAGATTAAAAGTGAATGCAGCTTTTAAGTAGTCAGAAAAACAGATGCCATTCAAACTAGACTGTTCTGGGAGAAGTGTAATTAGCTGAAGTCATTTTCACAGGTAGATTTTTCATTTAAAGGGACTGTGCTGTCTGGTTACTTCCATTTCTATGAGGCAACAGTGGAGAGTGGAGTTATGTTAGGGTTGCCTGTTTGTCTGAAAGTACTGACTTCTGCTCTTTGAAACTTGGAATTATTGCAGAGGTTTTTCCACTGTCTATTCCTGAAAAATCTGAACAATCTAAGAAAACTTAAGCCATAACACAGGACTGATGCTTAAATTCAGGCATTGTAAACTACTGGTTTTAGATTTAAATCTGCAAACAGAAAAAAGTTGTTTTATGTACTTGTGTGTTAAGTTCCTATTTATTTTTTTCTTGAGCAACATTGATTCTTACTGTCAGTAGTACAGCATCACTATTGTCAGCCAGTGAGTGGACAAACTGCTTCTGATAATTTTGTCTCTAATGGAGTAGTTTGATAGACTGGCTCTGGTGGGTGTTGCTGTGACCAGTCAGGCTGCCCCTGCCCTGCTCACCTGTGGATGTGCTGCCAGGATGGAGTGCCTGAGTGCCTGCCTGGGCACCCGTGGGGTGCTGGGCCCCACGTGCTGCTGAGAGGGTGGTTTCACAGCAAGTTTTCAGCTGGGTGCCTCAGGGAGGGTGTGTGGTGTCCTGCTCACCTTGCTGCAGGATCCCTGTCACAGGTGACAGGGACAGCTGATGTGGGGAGCAAAGCCAGGAAGATGCAGTTCAACTGGCCAAATCCTGTCACTGATCTTGTAAACATTTTGTGGTGAGAGACAATTCTGAACCAAGATTTTTTTTACACACAGGTTGGGTCTTACCTGGAGCTCCTGGAGGTGCTGTTGTGAGTTTAACTGAAATAGTATTGGAATCAGAGGGGAGTGTTGTTGTCTTCTGCCTTTGCAGATAAGACTGAAGGGCATTTTGCCAGGAGCCTGTGGGAAGGACCTAAATTGTATGTGACTCTACATCATTTTAAAATGAAAAATAAACATGTGCAACCATAATATTTGCTTGTTCTTGTCTCCTCATTGATGGATGGAGAGAAATTGCTCTTTGGCTGAGTTCATCAGCAACAAACCTCTGCAGTTACTCATCTTCATGCCTGCAGTGAGAGGGAGAGACCATTGGAATTTACAGTTGGTTTTGTCCTCATAACACCTTAGGGGAGCTCTGATGGTCCTGAGGACTTTCAGACCTGCCTATCCCTGTGTTGAAACAGGGCTGGGTGCTAGAACAGGGACCATGGAACTGAGCTGGGTCAGAATGAAGCTCAGTGTGCTCTTGTGGTGTTGGCACAGCGGGCATGTGCCTCTGCTTGGGAGAGGCAAAAGCCCTGTTGCTCTCCTGGCTATTGCATGGGGGATAGGGGGTGTTGGAAGGGCAGGGAGCCATTTCATTGTGTGACAGGGAAGAGGGGCTTGGCTCATGAGCCACCAACACATTTTTACTCCTTGTTTGTTGTAGATTTGTGGGCTCACCTGCACCATCATGAGCAGCACAGGTACAACAAACAAGTCTGAACTGAGCTTTTCCATAGTGACAGCAGGAAATAGCAGAAGCTTTCTCTGCTGAGCTGTGATGACAAGCTTGTGCTTGTCACGGGCAAAGATAGGGCTTTAGAGTGACCAGGATGTGGCTGGGATGGGATGCTGGCCAGGGGCTGATTAGGACAGGAAGGAGTGTGTGCTTTAGATGCTGCTGGTCTCTGTAGGGTGCATCCTGACATGTGTCCTGGCATGTCCCATGCCAAGTGCAGAATGGTGGCCACGTGGCCTGGTTGTCCCCTCTGCTCTAACTTAATCATCTGCAGAAGGGGAAAACACAGCATTGAGCAGGTCACATCGAGAGAAGATGGTGTCTGCTTCTCAGCTTCAAGAAAGGGTGAGATAGTCCCCACTGGGAATTGTACAGAGCTCCAGAGAGAAAAGGCTGTGCTGAGAGGGAGGGCTGGTGCTGTAGCTCTGCTCATAGTAATGGTAACTCCATGAGCTTCAAAATGCCTTAAATGGCACCTTCTAGCTCCCTCACTCTGCTCAAGGCCAGAGATGAGTGATGGTTCACCCTGTACTCTTATTTTATACCTCATTTGGCATCTCCTTATCCCTTTGCTTTCTCAATGGTATTAAGAGCAGTAAAGGAGCGGTGACGTGAGGAGGTGGGAGTTATTGGCCAGGCTCTGGCAGCTGACATTTCTGGTCATTGCTGGTCACTGGCCCCGTTCAGGGTAGTGGGTCTTGCTTTTGGAGGTGCTGAAAGTAGTCCAGGAATGCGGACACTTCTACTTGTGAAAGCTGGGAAGGAAAATACTGCATTTCCCAGAAACTGTGTGGGTTAAACTGCTGGCTTTGGAGACAAGCTGTTGGGAAGCCCATCTAGTGTGCATCACTCAAGTCTCTCTCTTTTCAGGGCTGGGAAAGAAACCTGAAGTCGTGAGTCTGGTGGAGCACTGCGTGTTTCCAAACGCTCTGCTCTGAGTTCATCCCACCAGTAAGGCTGTGCAGCGTGAGAACTGGTATGTAAACACAATTCACAGGCACAAGGGACAAGAATGTCAGGCTTTTCTGACAGTGGCACCTTGTTCCTGGCTCTCGAAGTTTGGAGGGAGAGTGGGATCACTGGAAAATACAGGACAAACTGATGGTTCCCTGGGGGCGCTTACACCCAGAGACTTTGGTGGGGAAGGGTTCAGCAGTGAGAGGCTGTGAGTGTCCAGAAGTGATCCCAGGCTGAGGTGCTGAGGCTTTAGACACGCTCTGTGGGGCGATGTGTGGTGTCATAGCACACACAGAGAGGCAGCGTGGGGGTAATGACAAATGCACACACCAGAAATGCATACACACACAGACACAGGCTGTACAAGTGTAGGCACATGGAAACAAAGATGGCAATGCATATATAGTATATACTATACAGTGGCATATGAGAGCTTGGGGGTGTATATACCAAATGTCTGTATATACTATATATGGCGATTAAATAATGCATATGCATTCATGTTCTCTTTTTTTCTTTCTGTCTCTTCTGTCTTTCTGTGGAGCTGTTGCAAAACTACCAGATTCAACCTCCTGGGGAGCCTTTCTGGCCAAGGTTTTACAAGCCAGCACCTGCTTTGCCTGCCTGACTTCTTTCTATATTTATTCCTCTGCACCCGGTTTTTGCCTTTGCCTGTGGAACTGTCACAAACATTTGTGCTGGCTTTTGACTGCACAGGACTTCAGCTTGCAAGTCCTAAATCTGCCTTTGTGCATGGTGGAGGAGCAGGCGTTTTTGTGCATGGTTGTGCCATCTGTGTGTCTGAGCATCCCTGGTCCTTGCTGTCTGCATTATGTGGCCTGTGTCCCTGTGATTCTGCAGCAGTCCCTCTGTTCTCTGTCCCTTCAAGACGTTTTTATGAATCAAATAGTCTCAGTCATCCTACTTATGTAATTTGTAATTTTTCATTTAACTGTGCCACCCCTGACCCAGTGGCTGCTTTAAGGCAAAGGCAATGTGAGCAACCCTCACTCCCCTGGGTTTTGTGTCCCTGTCCCTGCCATGTGTGCCACTGCAGGCTGCATTCCTCTCCTGTTCTGTAAGCCCTCTGCCTCTCATGCTGACACAGCTAATATTTCTCCGCTGGCAGGGCAGGCAAGGTGGTAGCATTTAACTCTTCAGGAGAACTTTGATCTGTTCATCTTTGGTGGAACCACCAGAGCTGTAAGGGCTGGTATGTGCCTGTGATGGGGTTTTTGCTCTTCCAGATGTTCCCCATTGCTTTTCTGCTGAAAACTTGAATGAGAGTTTGTAAAACCTGCACAAACCTGACACTTTTTACATTAGTTGTGAGAGTAGCTCCTGTTTCTGACCATGGGGTGATCTCTGGGTGACCCTGCTGCTGGCTGGGGCACATAGCCCCTGTGGGAGGTTCTAGTGGGCTTTTGGAAAAATAATTAATCAGCTACCCATGGAGAGCTAGTCCCAGCCTGCAATGCACTGAGGTTGTCCTGGTGTACCACTCAGTGCCACTTGGACTGTTGTCTCTTTAAAGCTGCCTTTGTGACCACCAATGTAATGAATGTATGCTGCTGCTGCCTGGCAAGGTTGATTTTTTTTTTTTTACAGTGGTAGTGATGGACCAATGAGTTAAATATGGATGTATTCTAAAAGGCAGAGAACTTTTTTACCTTTTAAAGCAATGGTTTAAATGTTTTCTGTCACCTGTGGGTGCTAAACTCTTGCTGCCACGGGTCCGGACCACTGTTCAGTTCTTGGAGGTAATTGCAGAGCCTCTGTCTTTGGAGGATTTCAGCTCCTCCTGAAGCCTGTGCCTCAGTACCAGTGAAAACCAGATGTACTGTTATGTCGCTTTTTTACAGTTTGTTTTGGCCATACATGGGCAGAGTCAGCTCTGGAATTCCTTCCCTATAAATTCAATAGCATCTTGTGGGTGGTGCCGGGGAATCACTCTGGTCTGGTTGGATCGCCTTGCTTCGGCAGCCTGTTTGCCTTGAAAATGTCCTGCTGTGCACATTCCTGAGAGGCTGCCTGCCCCTGGAGCCATGGCTGCAGCTTCCAGGAGGCTGCTGTCCCTTGCTGGCAGGCAGAGTCAGCTCCTGCTGCCTGCAGGTCAGCCTTGGCTGCTGAGACTGATGCTTGTGGCAGTGCTGGCATGGGGATGTTGCTCTGGGGTGCATGCAGGCTCTGCAGGAATAGTTATACCTGCTAAGAAAACTGCCTCTGAAACTTGATTTGCGTGTTTGAGCATTGACACTCAAGTCCCTTTTCCAGGGGTGGGGAGGCTGGGTGCTCCCCACTTCCCACCTGACATGGAATACTGTGCTGTGTGTCCCAGCAGGGATTGATGGGTGCTGCCATCCTGGGGCTCCTTGTATGTGCAGGGATCTTGTCTTGTCCTTCAGTTTGTGCCTTTCTGCAGTGCTTCCTTGTTTTTATGGATTTTTTCCATAATGCAAGTTCAAATACATGCTCTTTATAAAGCACTAGCTTGATGAGCCAGGTCAGGGGAGGTTTCCCTATGCCAGGTGAGCAGCCAGTGTGAGATGTGGTGTGACTGATGGCTGAGCCTGCCTTTTCTGGGCCAAGCTGATGTTGCTATAACCACAGTCTGAATCTGCCTATTTGCCTTCAGAGAACACTCTAAAAAGTAGTTCTAGGAGTTTTTCTACTGGTGAGTTGAGGGATGAAAAAGAGGTTTGTTGCAAGGGTTGAGGAGCAACAACTTCTAGAGTTGCTCCCATTGAATCTTCCTGTGCATCCCTAGTAGGGGACAGAGATGCAGTATCACCCATCATGCCAGGAGCCTCTGAAGCACAGTTGAAGGTGATTTTACGTGGCCCCATGTCCAGGCTCTGTGTAGGTCGGCAAAGGCAGATTGCTCAGCTCATGCTTCAGAGGGGCAAGTCATCCCTGTGCCAAAGCCAGGGAGAGAAGGGTGATTTCTTTTTTTTTTTTTTGACATCCTTTGGAGTTTTGATCTCCATATTTGGAAATGTTTACCCATTGCTCTGATCTATTGCAAGGGAGGGGAGGTGACTCAGGGTCTGGTGGAAGCAGGATTTGAATTCCTGTAGTAAGGTTTTTTTTTTTTTATCCCCCCCCCCTTTCTTGTTTTGGAAGCTTGTTGTGGTCAGTTTTCAGTTCTCTCTTGCTCCTGGACCTTGTTCCAAATTTGATGTGCTCGGGAGGGAAGCACATTAACAAAGGAGCTTGTCTGAATGCTGGTAAGTGCATCATTGCTGTTACAGCAAGCAATTTGGGATTTTTTTTGTTGTTTTGTTTAGTCAGATAGATTGCATTGAAGTGTGTGCATTGCTGGTGGAGGCAGGCATGTGGATCAACAGCAAGGGACCAAATGAAACCTATAGCAGGGAGAGTTGGTTTACTGGATTGGTCTCAAAGGCAAAATGTTTCTTCAGGAGTAGGTATAAAGATAATTTAAGCCAGCTCCCATTCAGTCACGCTTTTCCTTTTAGTTTCACTTGTTTGTGCAGCAAGGTAGCAGAGCACTGTAAAGGAGGTGGTCAGCACGGAAATTCATGTGGTCAGCAAGGAAAATACAGCTTCTGTATGATTTTTGTCACTTAAGCAAGTGTGTGTGTTAAAAGGCTGTATAACACATGGATATATTTCTCTCAATTGTTAATATTTAACTGTTCTTAGTTGAAGTTTAGCAACTGTAACTGGATAAACTTTGAGTGTCCGTTTTTTTCTTGTTGTTCTGTATTTTTCCTTAGTGTTAAGTTTTTAATCTGTCTGATATTGTAACTGGCTGCTTCTTTTTTTTACTTTTTTTCCCGCTTTGCCCCCCCCCCCCTACTCCTGCTCTTTCCTATTTCCTGAAAGGAAGCTGCAGTTCATCCAGACAGTCAGGGGTGTGGGGGGAACCTGGAAGATGCTCTGCTTCCTATTTTATTCATGGCAGCTAAAACCATGCTGAGGAATGTGGAGCAGAGATCCACCATCCTGCATTCCTCTTGTCATTTGGAGCATGTAACATGTACAGAGTGCTTTTAACACTGCTCTGGGGGTCATGGGGCAGCCAGTCCTGCACCTCAAATGCGAAGCACTGCACTTCATCCTTTTACTTTGGAAGGGGCATTGATGAAAACCCTTTTATAGTTCCCAATGCTGCTTAGTAATCCTTGTATCTTTTCAGCTAACTGGTATTTTTAGGCTCCTTCAGACCTCTTGCTTCATACTCTCCATCTTAAATTTAAGACCTTTGTTGGAAAGGTAAACCTCTTGTCGATTTTCATTTGCCCTTTTAAATGGGGCTTAATACTCCTTGCTTTTCCAGAGATGTGGACTTGCAGCAGGTCCTTGAGGTATAAAACTGTCTGGATTATCTTGAACAGGGAAATATGGTTAGCATGAGGATGGATGTGTGATAGAAAACACTCTGCCACAAAAAGTGATGAAGGATTGCTGGAGCCTTTTCTGTGGCTGAGACATGCTGGGGGTTTGTAGAGTTCAGCTGCATTTATTCTTTGTTGTTTCAAAAGGCTGATTGGATTACTGCAGCTTGTGGGGTCAGGGCCTGGCTGGGCTGAGCAAAGGAAAGAATTGCTGTCCTAAAGAGTGCCCAGCCTGAATGGGCAGGGGAGAGGCTTAGGAAACAGGGCCCTGGGGACATGCCACAGCACCTGAAGCCTCAGCCCAAGGACTCCCCCAGCAGACACTCATCCTCTGTCGTGCATGGTGGTGCCAAGCTGTGGAATTGTGGCAGTGGGACCGTGGTCTGTGTTGCTCCTTGTGTGCTGTGCTTTGCCTCTGCATGTGCACACGTGCCCCTGTGCAGTGGCCATGCTTGCAGCGGCACATGGATGTGGCACATCCAGGCTTCACCAGCTGCCTGTGGCTGAGCTTGGAGTTTTGGGAACAGCACAGTGGGACTGGAAATGATTCTGTTCCCCTCTTCCCTTTCCTGCTCACCAGGATGTGCTGTTTGTTGGAAGACAAGGATGAGCAGTGCCTGGGTGCCGTAACCCAGTGCTCCGGGCAGGGCTTGTCTGG